TAGACTAATGCAAATTTAGTCAAAACGTTAACCTTTTTGAGGGCTAGGGTACTCAGCCCCTAAGTAGAGCATTAGGGTAGGATTAAATTAGCCCCCACAGGTTAAAGGCTACCTACTGAGCCCCGAAGTCTAGGATGGCGGTGCAATAAGTACCTGTACTACCCAAACCCTAAACCCTACACCTTATACCCCAAACCCTAAACTTTACGCCCTGAACCCGGAAGCCTTACACCCTTACACCCTTTACTCTATAAGCCCTAAATCCTAAACGGCGCTGCTGCAGGGACCGGTCACTGCTTGGCATGTAGAACGAGCCAGGCTTTCTCAAGGAGAGTTAGATCCACAAGGCTCAGAATACAGTAGAAGCCAGAAAGTTGGAACATAGTTGTCCTCATACCCTTAAGGAAAACTATAAGGGATCCTAGCACTGATCCTCCTGAAGCCATGTTCCAACTTTCTGGCTTCTACTAAACAGGGACCTTTTGAAGGAGCCTTATGGGGCTGTATGGTTGAGGGCTTACTTGAAGGGCCTGGGGACTTTGTAAGAAGGAAGGAAGTAGACTTATAAGTGCCCTAAAAAGGACGCTAATTGGGGTTATGGTACTTATAAGTCCCGAAAAAAGGGTAACGAGTTCCCCCGACCCTCCAAGTAGGCTTCAGGGTTGAGGGTTTTAGTATGGGTTTAGGGCTCAGGGTTCGGGGTTAGGGTTTTAGTATGGGTAGTATAGGTAGTTGTACATGCCCCCTATAAATCAATTACATGACAATGGTTCGATGTAAGCCCGGATTGAGATCGATCGCTTGGGTGTTTACCGTTGACCACACAGAGGCTCTGCCACCCCGCAATGCCCGGTCGCGTCTTCAAAACTCAAAGAATTCAAGGTTTAGGGTTTAGGGTTTTAGGGTTTAGGGTTTAGGTCTTTTGAGCCCCTTTTTCACCCAGCAATCCAGGGTTTTAGGGTTTAGGGTTTAGGACTCTTGAATCTTTCAGGGTTCAACAGGAGTACCTCTAATAACACCCCTAGCATCCCAAGCCCTGAACTAACCCTAAACCATAACCCCAAAAGGCCAAGACCGTAAAAAAAAGACAACTACCTGGGAGTTTCCGCAAATAGGGGGTACCTTATTTTGGGGTCCTTATAGTAAGGATCCTACTATTTCGGGTACTATATTAGGGTCCCCTATTTTCGGAAACCCCCACCTGCTTAGGGATACTCATTACGAACTATGGTTTAGTTACATCAAGCCTGAAACAAGTAAGGTTTGCAGTGTCCAGGTAAGCTCTAACCCCAAATAACCCACCTTAGGGACTGTACTCAAAGGGTGGGGTGTATAGGGTCCAGGCAAGCCCTAACCGCGAAATCCCGAACCCTAAACCCTTATAGTCCCAAAACCCTTTTAATGCCCTTGTAGTAATCCCGCACATAAACCCTGACAGTACCCACATAGTACATGTACCCCTTATAGCACACCTCAGCCTACGTCCTTCTCGTACTTAAACCCTTATAGTTCTCCTTATTGTACCCCCCGTGCTGGCCTTTCTTGGAGACCCAGCGCCGCCCGGAGTTCGGCAGCCTCGTGCGGCTAGGGCTCTTAGCGCTTCTCGATTTAGGGCAAAGGGGCTCCTGGGCTTAGGGTGTTCGCGGTTTAAAGGTTTCAGGTTTTTTTTTGGTGTGTTCGGGAGGCTCTTCAAGCTATAAATTTAGGGTTTAAGGGTTTAGGGGTTTAGGATTTTAGGCTTTTAGGTTAACTGTACAGAAATAGGCTTAAGGATTTACGTGGTACCGTGTTGGGCGGGCTTTTGAGGCCTAGGCTGTTCAGGCGCTTCGGGTTAGGCTTTAGTGTTGGGTGTAACAGTCTTGACGCTCCGAGGGTTTGAGGTGTAGACTCTCCTCCAGCTTCCTCTTTTCTCCTGCCTGGTTGTTGGCTTTTCCTCCCTTCTTTCGTCCTTCTCCTCACTTCTTTCTTCCTCCTCACTTGGGGGTTTCCGAAAACAGGGAACCCTAATATAGTACCCTAAATAGTAGGATCCTTGCTATAAAAAGCTCGAAATGAGGTACCCCTAATTTTCGGAGAATCCCACTTCTTTCTTCAGTCTCCTCAAAGCGCCTCCGCCTTCTGCGCCGCTTGTGCCTTTTCTGAGCTCTTGAATTTTTGCACACAACTGCCACATGGGTGGTTGTCAAAATTATGGTCCCCCTTTTAGGAACCCTGAATAATAGGTGCCGTATTATATTAGGGACCCAAAAAGGGACCCTAGTTTTGACAACCACCCACATCAGGCCTTCTACTGTAAGTAGATGACCCGGTTGTCGACAGCAGGCGCAGCAGGTATAGTCTTGCTTTTTGACGACTCTAAAGGTGCGAATGCTACGTCCACAGCCTCGTCTGTGCTGCTTTCTGGTCCTGAGGTTGATGATACGAATCCTGCATTACCGTGATGACCCCAGACCATGGGAATTATGGTACATTCGGTAATATTTATATATATATATATATGTATATATATATATATATGGGTAATGTAGGATTTGTATCATCAACCGTACGACCCTTAAGGCCCGCCCTCCTCGTTGGGAGCTTCTTTGGACCGCTGCTTTGCATTGCATCTGCTGGAAGAGACAGGGTAATATAAGAACTTGATTAAGAAACCTTGGGCCTTTATTAGGGCATTAGGGTTCTTTATATGAATCCTACTATTTTGGGGTTACATACAGGCGCCGGGTTTCTTAATCAGGTTCCTACATTACCACCCTCCGAAACTTCGAAAGGCCCGGCATGCCCTAAGGCTTGGGGCCCTAACGCTCTTGGACCCGGACTTGGGGTTATGACTTAGTTGAGGGTTTGGGCATGATCTAAGGGGGCAAGAAGGAATACCTGTATCCAAACTGTTACAACGATTATAATAGAAACCTCGAAGCCTCATACCGTAAGCCCTTAATCGCGAACCCTGAGCTTGGAAGCATATTAAACTGATATCAAGCCTTACAGCCACAACCCCTCCAACACCCTTGCAGCGCGAGCGCACCCCGAGAAACAAGCCGTGCAAGCCCTAAACCATAAGCCCATGACGCTGACGACCAGCACCCCCCAACTACCCTTTAATGGTGCCGTCATCGTCCTTAATTGCGGGTATGGGTATTCAGGATATATTAGAGGGTAGTTGGGGGATGCTGAAACGCCGATATAGGGGCCTTGAAAATCAGAATAGGGTTTTGGGGTATGTTATACTCTCTTTTAATAAGGAACCCCGAAATAGCCCTTATAGGAGCCCTATTCAAATTGTTCCGGCCCCAAAATAAACCCTTAAAACCCTGAACCTAAAGAACACCTTCTGGAACCCTAAAGCAAGCCCTAAATTCTAGGGAAACCCTGCTTAGGTTTTAGGGTTTAAGGGGGTTTTAGGGTTTGGGGGGGTTGAGGGTTTAGGGGGGTTTAGGGTTTAGGGTTTTAGTGCCCTAAGGTATTCCACTGCGGCACGGACCTCTTGGTCTTCCGGCGCCTGAAGAATTCGAAGATCAGAGTCGATTTGGGGGTTTCCGATAATTAGGGGTACCTTGTTTGGGGGTTCTTATCATAAGGATCCGACTATTTAGGGTATTATATTAGGGTCCCCTATTTTCTGAAACCCCCCATTTAAGGTGTAAGGTGCCTGCATTGTTTATGTGCGGGCCCTTTTTTTTGTGGGCCCTTTTCCGACTTCAGAACAGCAAGAATACCTTACCAGGTAGAGCCTATGTTTAGGGTTTAGGGTTTGGGGCTTAGGGCATCAGAGTAGCTTTCAGGTGTTAGGTGCCTTGTTTCAGGGTAGTGTTTGGTATATTCAGGGTTTTGGGCTTGAGGGTGTAGGGTTGTCGGTTAGGGTAGAGCTTCGGGTGTAGAGCTTGGTATATTCAGGGTTTGGGCTTGAGGATGCTTTTGGCAGGTTGGCTTTTCGACAAGTGCATGGCACTCAGTTTAGTCGGCTTGCAATGGAAGCTTGAAAACCCTAAACCCGAAGCCCCAAACCCCAAATCCAAAACCCCAAACTCCAAACCCTAAATTCCAAACCCTACACCCACAAACTCAAACCCTAAACTCCAAACCCGAAGCGCCAAACCCTAAACCCAGGGGGTCATCAACCCCACCACCTAGGCACAACTGTTCTCCGGTACCTCTCTGGTTCTACAATAAGGCTATTTCAACGGATCCTAGACGGCTCCATGCAGTCACCTTCACGGTCCATGTCTCAATCTAGTGTAAGGGTTCTATCGAAGGTTACTGGAGGGGTTCAGGGTGTGGGTGTGGAAAAGAGTCCATGTACTCATAGGTATGTACTTTGGCCATGTGGAGTCCCCAGCGACGTATGTATTTTCTATGTACATGTATGCACATGGATGTACATGTATATAGATGTGCATATAACAGACATACACATATGTAGAAGTACTTTACCACCTGAGTATACAATATATAGGTACGTTACATGGAGCCTTAGGGAGAATGAACCTTTAGGGTCCCAGGTAGTCACCAGCAAGCATCCCTCCCATGCTTGAAGGCTCCCGGAGGATCGTGCTACGAGTAACAGCATAGCAATGTATAGCATATACATCGCAGAATGGCACAAATGTCTACTAAGAACCTGTTATATTGGTACTTGAAGCCGTTGGGTGCATTCAGAGGATGACAGAGGCGTAGTCTGCAGAATCCACGGTCTCTTTCCGCAGGTCTACGGCCGGGCTGTTCCGCAGGTGGCACTTGCATGTCCAACGCCTACAAAGGCACCCGAGTGGAGGGCTCTTGAGGACTTCGGACGGCTCCGAAATGCGGATACCCAAGATCTCCTGAGGGATGGCATGTGGAGCTGGATGCAGAAGCCAATTGCCAATGACAGCCTCAGGGCTCATCTTCGACACCGCGCCGTGCCCCTGCTGCATCTTCCTCTGATTTCTTCTGTCAGCTTATTTGGAGAAGCATCGGCTCGTCGGCAGCGGTCCTAGTTGACAAGAAGGGCTCCAAAGTTAGTTGACAAGAAGGGTTCCAAAGTTAGGCGGCACGTCACACTGGCCGCACTCATTGTCTCCAAAGCAGGACAGCTGACCATCGGTTCGTATTGCACAGGTGTGAGAGTACCCGGCCGCAACTGCTAAAACTGCTCCCAGGTCACTTGGCACATCGCATCGGCCATCGTCGTTCTTGCCAAAGCAAACCAGCTCTCCTGTTGCTTTGATAGCACAGGTATGGGAGTCACCTGCAGCCACAGAGAGAACCGACCCTAGGTCCTCTGGCACATCGCATTGGCCAAATCTGTTGCTTCCGAAACCTGGGCTTCGAAGTAACGAGGAAGAAACAAGTATAGACATTTATTTCATCATGGCTCCCTTTAAGTAACAGGTCCCAAAAAAAGTATAAAAGTATATGGTACTCCAACGCACAGAAACTTTCATAATGGTTCCGTTTAACTTTAAGTAGCAGGTCCCCAAAAAAGTATGAAAGTATGGTACTCCAAGGCCCAGAAACACAGCAGCTGTCCAGCTGCAGTCACGACACATGTATGTGCGCCACCGGCAGACACTCCCAGGATGGGCCGCCCCAGATTTGGCACATCACACTGCCCGTGCTCATTGTCGCCGAAGCACACCAGCTTTCCCTCAACTGTAATGACACATGTATGAAAAGTGCCAGCACAAAGGCTCTGAACCTCACCAAGGTCATTCGGCACCTCGCAAGAGCCCTGTACGTTGTATCCAAAACAGATCACCTGCCTATCTGCCCTGAGAGCACAGGTGTGGGCGTAGCCGACGGCAACTTCAAGAACTGGACCAAGATCTTCTGGCACGTCGCACTGGCCCAAGTCGTACTTTCCAAAACAAGTCAGCTGCCCGTCGCTGCGAATGGCGCAGATATGATGAAAGGAGGCGGACGCTGCACGGACGGTGCCCAAGTCTGCTGGAAGATCGCTCTGCTTCGAAAAGACTTTGAACAGCCCGAACAACTCCAGCTGTCCGTCCTTGATAACGCACGTGTGGGAGTGACCCAATGTGATTATGGAAGCCCCCAAGTCTAGAGGCATCGTGCGCATCAGCATGCAGAGGTGCATCGCTGTAGGTCTCAGCCTTCTTTGCCACCTCTGGCCGGCGACACCCCGCCGGAGTCCGCGTGGCAGAAGCCACAGAGGCTGACCCCATACCATTGCAACGCGAAATGAGCTCCTTCAAACCCTGAGCCCTAAACCCCAAGCCCTATGAGCTCCTTCCCTCCCCAACCTCCTCATAAAACTCCGAACCAACCCTCAACTCCGTACGCGCCCAAAGGTCTAGAACCACAAAGTCGGACACCCGCCGTTGACGAAAGTCAACCTTCAATCCTGGGTTTCCAGCTTTAGCGCTTAGGAAGTTCTTACGGCTTGGTAAGGGCTTACCTATATAGTCTCCATTGTAGTTACTTTTCGGGGTTTAACCAAGTTTATATGTAGGATCCTATAAGGTGCCCCCGAAAAAAAGGAACTACCAGGTAGTATCGATGTGCAGAGCTGGGGCTGATCTCTTCTGTCCCACGCAGAGTCTTAGGCTCAACCCAGGTCTTTGTATCTTGAAAAGACAGCCTTCGGTCGAACCTACTTGGAGGTTCATGGGTAGTTATAAGTGGCCTCATAATTCCCCTAAAATGGGTTGTAAGTTATAAGTATAGTTACCCTACACATAACCCTACATGAACCTCCAAGTACTACTGCAAGGATGGCATGTCAAGGAAGCCTAGAACCGGGTTAGTTGCCTCTGGCCAGTCCAGAATCAAGCGAAGCTCCGCATCGAGGGCTGACATCACTGCCTGCGGCACCGTGTTTCTAGAGCTGATGCTTTCCGGCCGAGGGCTTATACGAGGCATTGTGCTTCTTCAGGCATGGTAGACCCTAAACCCTAAACCCCTAAACCCCTAAACCCCTAAACCCCAAAACCAAAAACCCTAAACCAGTCTTACCACTCTAAAGGGCTTGGGGTTCGGACTGAGGGGCCGGTAGGTTGATGATGACTCGAAGACCCAAGGATGAATAGAAAACACCCAGCAATGTTCATGGGTAGTTATAAGGATTCCTTTAAGGGTCCCTTTAAAGGGAGCTATAGGCAACTATTCTGGGTTCTTGAGGAGCCCCTTTGTAATAAGGGTGCCCTTTTTCCTACTATTTGGTTTTGATGAAAGGACCCTTAGCCTTAAAACAAAAGGGCAAAAGGGTACTTCTCAGGGACTTAAAGAAAAAGCCAGAAAGTTGGAATATGATTATCCTAAGCCCTGTATGGTAAATTATAAGGTATCCTACCCTGAAACCATATTCCAGCTTTCTGGAGTTCCCTTTGGTATTATCAGCCTGCCAGCTCAGCCCCAAGAGCCCCTGCACGTCCAAAAGAAGCCAATCATGTCCTACAAGGACTTGGGTCTAGGATAGTATCTTTGTAGGGCTCTCTGCAGAAGACTAGCATGTGGGTGAGGCTATGTTTATGAAGGACTTGATCCTAAACCCCAAGCCCTACTTGCATGCTATAAGTGGGGTTATAAGTCCCGTAATATGGGTTATAAGCATAGCTACCCTACTTATAACCCTACTTATAACTACCCATGAACCTCCAAGTAGAGCCCTGAACCCTGTACACTTACAGAATCCCTATAGATCCCTTTCAAGGGACCCTTAAAGGAACTCTTATAACTACCCATGAACCTCCAAGTGCCGTCCTTTGGACCCTTGGGGCGACTGTAGCTCGAGGGCCCGGGCGGCCTCCACAGGGGAAGGCTGCGCCACTCCCTCAGGGGGGGCCTCCATTTTGGAAGCCTCACTGGGCGTTCAAGGTTTAGGGCTTTGGGGTTTAGGGGTTTAGAGCTTTAGGGCTTTAGGGCTTTGGGGTTTAGGGGCTTAGGAGTTTTGGGGCTTTGGGGTTTAGAGCTTGCTTGGGGTTAAAGACCCTTCTGCCATGTGGCTTCGAGCTTTTTCCTGCTCGGTTAAGGCTTCAGGGTTGTAGGTTCAGGGCATGGGCTCAGTTTTAGAAAGTATGAACCTTTAGAAGTTCTTAGAAGTCTGAACTCATAAGGGCTTTGTGAGAGAGTTCACCAGGTACTAGAAGGCTAGAAGGGCTTTAAGAAAGTCGGTGGAAGGTTTCAGACTAGCGACCGTATGAGCAAAATGATTATAACTATAACCCTATACATCCTACACCCTTAACCCTAAACTTTAGCCCCTACGCCCTTCAATCCCCTGTACAGAACTTAATACCCTAAACCCTAATTCGCTATAGAAACCTTTAAGGGCCATTGCCAAAAAGCCAAAGCCCTGAACCCCTAACCCTTTGTGGTCAGAAACCTTAGAGGAACTTTGCAAGCAAGCACATTCTAAAACCTCTGGATTTTACAGGATCCCTTCTAGACCACCCTTCGAAACCCCATAGAGCACTTTCGGAACCTTTAACCGTGAACCCTACCCTGAACCGTTTTAACAGCCCTTTCGTTTCCCTTTTCCCTAAAGCCTTATGGATCCCTGTTTGAACCCTTCCAGATCCCGAGTTTTAAACCCTTCTAGATCACCTTTTTGAACCCTTTCTAGATCCCTTTCTGAACCTAGAGGATCTTAACCCTAAGCCCTTATAGATCCCTTTTGCCCCTACAAGATCTTCACCCTAAGCCCTTGTAGATTCCTTTTTGACTGTTAAGCTCTTAACCCTAAACCCTTATAGATCCCTCTTTGAACCTACCTGAACCCTTAAGAACCTCCGATTTTCGTGTTCATTCTTATGGTTTCCTTTTATAAGTCCTTGAACAGGTAAGTTCTTTGGGGTCTAGGCATAGGCTACCGGGTCTCTGCGCCAGGGAGCCGCAGCCCCGAGGCCCAAAGGCGAATCCACAGCGCCAAGGAGTGGCCGCAGTGCCCAGGCACCTAGGGGTTTGGGCTGACGGTTATTTAGGGTTCAGGACTTCGTTTTTTGCTTTAAGTGTGGTTCGGGTTTAGGGTTCAGGGTTTAGAGCCTCAGGGTTACACAGAGCAGAAGCCAGAAGTTGGAACAGCATGCCCTCAGAGTTAAAATACAGGGAACTCCGTCACCAATGGTCCCTTACACATGCTGCAACTTTCTTGACATCACCGTAAGATTTTCTGTAGGCTCTAGTTGTAGGATTGTATGGGATCTGCAATGGTTCCTGACAGAAATGGGCCTCGATAATAAATGCAATAAGGCCCTGGTAAAGAAAGATTTTCGAGGGTTCTGCAGGGTGTTTTAACCCTAAACCAGAACCCACAGCCCTGAACCAGAACCCTAAACGCCAAACCCTAACCGTTAACCCTTTGTGCGTGTTAAGGACCAAAGGCTTGGAGCAAGCGGCCCAAAACCAGCGACAGGGCCGTAGTGAATCCCTCGAGAGAAGCCTGGCTCTAGGGCTTCTCAAAGGGCTTATAGCACGGATTTCCTTCTGCATTACATGCTCTTGGTTGAGGCTTTAGGGATTCGGTCGGATGGACATCGAGCCGGTGAACAGAAGTCTGCGTGAAGGGGCGAAAGCAAGCGTTAGCAACCATAGCCTACCTGGTCAGATTTCTTCGCTGAGTACTGAATGCTGATACTTCGTGTGAAAAGGCGTGTGTGTGTGTGTGTGTGTGTGTGAGTGTGTGTGCATGTATTTGAGTACATACGTATCTATATATGCATATGTGCACACACATATGTATATATATATATATACACACACACGTTCACATGCATGTATGCCTGAATGAATGCATGCATACATGTACATATGCATGCGCAGTGTGATTGAAAGACTGATTGGTTGATTGATTGTTTGTTTGTGTGTGTGTGTGTGTGTGTGTTTGTTTATTGGTTTGTTTGTTTGTAACACGACTTAGTTAGGTTCGTCTAGCGATAGGTCGAAAGCTGCTTGAGGGCTAGGGGCCTGAAGCGTGAGGTTGAGGGGTTTTGTGATGACACGGAAAATCGTGCAACAGCACGTGAAAGTCAGATCATTGAAAAACAAAGCCCGTGGCTCGTGCATGTCATCATGCTAGGACAAACACACAACGAACAAGGCCACAGGGCCACAGAGTTAACAATTTCGTACTTGAAGGGCAGAGTCATCAAAAGACGAAGCAGCAGAACTAGGGTTTCGGGTTCCGGGTTTAAGGTTCAGTGGTCAAGCCCGACACCGAAATATCCCGAAACCCCTCAAACCCTGAACCCTCAATCCTGAGCCCTCGATACGGGATTTTCGCGAAAATCGGGGGTGCCTTATTTTGGGGTCATCGTAATAAGGATCCTACTTTTTAGGGTACTATAGTAGAGTCCCCTGATTGCGGAAGCTCTCATACAGGATCCCTTAAAGGATCCCTTACAACCGTTAAAGTATCCATTAAAGAAGCCCCTAAAGGAGCCCTTAAGGGGGATCCCTTGTAGGATCCCTTAAAGGAGCTCCTGAATGAATGCAAGCCTCGAATTCCTGGAGTCCTGCAGCGCCGAGAGCCTCATAGCGAACTCGCTGAGTCCTCGGTAGGGTGGGCTGAGGTCTGAGGGGTTTAGGGGTTTACGATTTAGGGCTTTTGGGGTTCAGGGTTGAGGGTTTCAGGGTTTAGCGTTTGATTGGGTTTAGGGTTTACGGTTTTTGTGTTTTCGGGCTTTACGGTTTCAGGGTTTAGGGGCTATCATGATTGCTCAAACTGCTTGCTGAACGGTAACGATCTATGAGGTTTATGCCTGGAAGCAAGAGGCACGAGAGGAACACCAGGAAAAGGGACATAACATCCTGTTCACGATTCAGGTAGATCATCATCGTCATCATCATCATCGTCAGCACCATCACCATCCTAATCAGTCATCACCGTCAACATCAGCTCCTGATCACCATCGTCATGGGTTACAAGCCGCGAAACCACCGTTAAAGCATGTTCATTGGCAGAATCGTCTTGATCATCACGGCCATCAAGCTCATCCAGCTACTGTAGGGGCCTTAATAGTTACAAGAAGGTTTTGGGGGGCTCCTTATTTTTTAAAAGTGTAGCATAGTATACCCCCCCAAGCCGTTAACCCTATTCTAATCATTAATGCCCCTACATTGGCGCAACCAGAAGGAAAGGATGATCTCAAAGGAGGCCAGTGTCTCCCCACGAAGCCCAAGAGTCCCTCAGGGACCCACCAAAGTAGGCAAAAAGATGGCCGAACACCTATAAACGGCCATCATTTTACATACTTTTGGGGTCCAGGTGATTCTTATATCACTTATATCTTTTGCTGCACCTCCTCGGAGTTTTGCTGGTAAGGGTATTCGAGCCGGGGGCAATATGCTGATGAAGCTTACCCTACTTTCTACACCCCAAACGCGCAAAACCCGAATCCCAACACGCATCATTTCGAAGCCGTACGCCTAGTACACAAGAAGGTCAAACGTTGAACTTCCGGGAGTCATGCAACAGCAACGAAAGAGGAACAGCATATTTGCGGATAAGAACCAACGAAGTTCAACAGTCGGCGTTGGATTTGTTCCCCTACGCCCTAAGCCCTAGACGCCAGAGTGATAAGTTTGCAAGCCCAAAGGCTCCATGTACCTGTATAGTAGTTACTTAAGCCTTAATTAAAGGGGTCCCTATATAGGCACTTTAAGGCCTAAGTATATATATATATATATATATATATATATATACTATATGGTTACATGGAGCCTTTGGGAATCTGAGCCGAGTCGCGGTTCCGAAAGGACTTCAAAGGCCTCATGTCAGGATTTCGATGTGTCTCACGCCTTCTCAACCTCCTGAGCTCTCATCCCAGTTCTGTGGATATTTTGAGCTGTGAACGCTGTGCTCTCGCCAACCTTTTATCGGAGTGATCTCGCTCCCGAAGTGATGGTCTATGGCTTGCACAAAGCTCGGCCCAATTACTATGGGGTCTTTCACGATTTGCGGCGTACATCAGACCAGCAAGAAAGACTTGGGCCTTCAGTATGCGCTTGGCTTTGGGCCTACCTGGAGTATCCACTGTGGTTTCCTTTTTGGGGCTACCTTCGAGGATCCTAGGTACACTTTGGTTAAACTAAACAGAGGAGCTACAATGGAGACTCTAGGTAGGGGGCAGGATGCAGGATCGAGAGTCTCGTCACGAGCGGTCGAGGTTCAGGATGGCTTGGGGTTTGGCTGGTTTTTGCGTAGGAGTTACGGCGCGAGGGCATTTCCTACAGCTTATAATACAGGAAAGGGTCCCTGAGGCTTCTTCAACTTGATGAGCACGGAAACCGAGGAATTGTTATAATTATTATTGCGACATATCATCTGGGTAAGTGGGCTACTCTCTCTCCTTGCAGTGCAAAGAGAATCCCTATGCCTCCAGGGACCTTATCATGGAGTCCTTAAGGGGTCTAGGGCCCTAACTATGAGGTTTTTGGAGGGATAGGGTAATCCCAATAAGCCCTAAACCCTAATCCCCTAAACCCTAAACCACTAAACCCCTAAACCCTAAACCCCTAAACCCTAAACCCCTAAACCCTAAACCCCTAAACCCTAAACCCCTAAACCCTAAACCCCTAAACCCTAAACCCCTAAACCCTAATCTCAATTGGAGGGATCGGGAATGCGAGCGTCGATTGGTTTGCGGCGCTAGGCGCTGGGATTTGAAGGCGCAGGTGGAGGGTTGACGGCACTGGACTTCATGATAAATTCGAAAGGGCCCAATCAACAGTATAGTATAATCATATATATATATATATATATACATATATATATATATACATATGTATTTCTTTTTTGAGGGGGGGGCCTAAATCTTTGCTAAGAGCCTACCGAATGGCATTCGGAATTTTTTGGGGGCCTGATGATCAACTCCAGGCCCTGCTAAACTCGTGACGAATTGTATTCAGCAGCTTCATCCTCTTACAGACTCCGTGCAGGTTCAGCTTCGCGACAGCACCACCATGCACTAGCAAGTCCTCTGGGCTTCAGCACCTCTTTGAGTGCTGCGAAGGCTGCTGCCTCGTCTGGCGACGCGTCCTCGTCCGCGACAACAGAAAAGGCTTCAGAAGATCGGAAACACCGGCTGCAAAATGCGATCTATGAAAACCTTGTTCACCGACTCCGAAGAATAAAACAGCACAGCGCCAATTGTCCGGATGCAGTCGTCTTGCACGTCGGCGCCAAGCACGTCGCAGCGTGCCAGCGGTGGCATCTGGCTAGTTGTCTCAGAAACTGCAACTACCACTTCTGCAAGTCCTACTAGTTCGTGCTGGTCGGGGGTGAAATACGGTTAAAACTCTACGTGTTCAAAAATGTACCTAGTTGTCAGCTTAGAACGGCATGTAGTATATGTGCACGCACAATGAACACCTGTACTTTATCTGCATAAGTGTTTGTACCTTCAGTAATTACGTACCAAACCCATTGTCAGATGTTGCAAATCTCCTGGGGGGTGTAGGTGTTCAAGCAGCTCTGGAACGAAGCAGTTGGTCACTTCATGGCCGTGAGAACTTCTTTCGAAAGGTGTGCAGAACGGCTCCATACACATCTACTTCACCGAGGACTTGCGCATCATAAGCCACTGCATGGAAGGCCAACCCTACAGGGCTTAACTGCTTAACTGCATTGCTGCTTCATAACTCCGCGATACTTGAACGTTCAGCTCTTCCTGTGTTACGCTGCAGTCCTTAGAGCTTCAGGTGTTGGGCTTAAGGCTATTAGGGGTTACCTATAGTCTCCATTGTAGTTCCTATTTTTGGGTAAGCAGTTTTATGCTTAGGATCCTACAATAGAGTTTTTGGTTAATCAAAAAAAGTAACTACAATGGAGACTATAAATACATCATACACCAGGCGATGTTTGCGCACTTCAGGTTCTCGGGCCGAGATGCTGTTCAAAACTACGGCTCCCTAGAAGGTGCTGTGTACCTATAGTCCTATAACCCTGATTCCGTGGTATTCGTTGGCTTCGGATAACTATTTATTCTGGGATTTAATCTGTCATTTTTTGTGTTTTCAATCTGTCACAAATCTGTGATCAGCCATGTCGTTGGTTTTTGAATCTGTCATTTATTTGTGATTTTTTTGTGATTTATCTGTGATTCATCTGGTTGGGGCTGGATTCCAATCTGTGTTTTTTTTGTGATTTATTTGTGATTTATTTGTCCGTGTTTTCAGGGGTGCCTGCAGGGTCTCGTCACTTAGTCAGACTTAGACTCCGAGTAGTCAAGGTGGGAACGGGGCGGGGTGGGGGCGGGGTGGCGTTCTAGGGCCCGGGGCGTGGGCGCCTGCCCGTGGAATCTGTCAAAAATCTGTCAAAAATTTGCTGCCCCACCCTACCCGCTGCCTCACCGCCCCTGCCCCCCGCCTCCCCCACCCCGCCCACCCCGCCCCACACCCCGCCCCGCCCCACCCGTGTGATTCTGGCCGCGATTTGGGACAGATTTTTGACAGATTTTTCGTAAATCTGCCAGAGACTGTTGACAGATTATTCACAGATTTTTCACAGATTATTCACAAATTATTCACAGATTATTCACAGATGCGAAACCCTACCAGCCGGCAGGTGACAGATTTCTGACACATGTGGATGACAAACTAAAGACAGATATTTGACAGAATTAATTCCGGAACCTGCTCCCAGAGATTACAAGTAATCAAGGTTATAACTATAGTCTCCATTGTAGTTCCTTTTTGGGGTTACCTCTTAGGATCCTTACTAAAAACTTGTTAAACCAAAAAAAGGAACTACAATGGAGACTATAGGTAGAGCAGTACGAAGCACCGGTGCGGGATCATACTTTGGAACAGACACCTTGTATTATTCGTGCCATGAAACTAAACATGACACACCAGCCTTCCTGAGCCTCGCTAGACTCAAACGTGTGAAGCTCGACAGCGCAAAAAATAAGCATTCTGCGAGCAGCCTGGGTCGACGCCCAGCAGCTCGAACAACCTTTACGGCGGATGGTTTTTCGCGGTACCCACTCTCTGCTTGCATATGTGTGTACATTTGTGCGTGCGTATCAGGCTGCTGTTGTGGGCGCGGACATGGGCGTGGAGGTGTGGAGGTGTGGAGGTGTGGAGGTGTGGAGGTGTGGAGGTGCGGAGGCGTGTGTGTGTGTGTGTGTGGGTGTGTGGTTGTGTGGGTGTGCTTGTGTCACAAGCTCTGCCGGAATCGCATGTGGGACGTTTCAGAGAACCGCTGTGGCTTTGTTGTTTTGAGCTTTCCAAGCGTTCACAGTGGAGTTTGGATTCTCGGGTGATGGATAGCACAAGCAGCAGAGAGCGAGAGAGAGAGAGAGAGAGAGATAAAGAGAGAAATAGAGAGAGACAGAGAGATAGAGAGAGAGAGAGAGAGAGAGAGACGAGAGAGAGGGAGAGAGAGAGAGAGAGAGACAGAGAGAGAGAGAGAGACAGAGAGAGAGAGAGGGTGAGAATGAAGCCTTCGAGATCTACGCCTCAATCATCAACCCCAGTACACTCAGAAGTTCACAGCCGTAAGGATCGAGGACTCGAGGCGAACATCCTGAAACCAATGCCCCGAACACAAGGGTCTACAAAGTTCAGGGCTTAGGTTTACTTAGGAGTCTTCCCTAAGGGTCCATGTATCCATATGGAGATACATGGGCCCCAAAGTACCTACTAGTATATAGGGACTACTACATTAAGGCCAATGTTTTTTTCTGCATGAGTACATGGACTGTTAGGGAAACGGACCCCGACCCGGACTAGACTTCGGGGAGCCAGCTGAGACTTGCCCCAACGTGCCACGCAGTCGATCATATGGGCAGTTGTCAAAATAGGGGTCCCTTTTTGTGTATCCTAGGTGCCGTATGAAAAGGGACCATAATTTTGACCTGTACACAAGCCCCAAGGCCCAAAAGATGGCCCTAAAGCCAATAGCATGGTAGAGCATTCTGATATGAGTCCTTACAGCCCTTGGGTAAGTCATGCCCTCAACAATCTGGAGTCTGGAGCATGAAACTTTCTGTCGGCAACCGGTGGTTTGGCACCACCCAGGTCCTCAAGTCGTCCGAAATTTGCGTTAAGCCTTCGGAAAGGTGGGCTTAAGGGCTCGCGGATGGAGGCTTCGGCCGGTACATGGAATCCTCGGTTGCTTCCGTTGTGCTCCCACTAAGGGATTGTATTTGCAACTCTGGTAACAATGGCACTACACTAACTGACTGGAACACTACCACTGTGAAAATGACACAAAACGGCCCGGAACATACACAGACGGTCGTGGCATCACAACCAACACGTACAGCAACCAGCGAACGCATGCTTCGGCGGCCAAGCCAAGCCTAGCAACCATCCTGGCAAAGTGTCTAGCACACAAGAACCATGTTGTCGCAGGCATAACGAGCAGCATCCACAAGGAATACAGGGTACGCTATATCGTAAATATCAAGTCGTATGTCAATGGCCGAAAACGGTGACATGCACTGTCCGAGACTGCCAATGATGCAGCTGTCACTGGCCTAGAATAATGACACGAACTATCTTAGATTGTCAATGATGCAGGAGTTGCTGACGATGCTGGTGATGATGCTCAGAAGAGCACTGTGACTTCGACCTTCATGGTGCCACAAATGTTCATGAAGAAGAGATTAGGCATACGATGATGGTGATGGTGGTGGTGATGATGATGGTCGCGATCATGAAACCGACCAAAGTATGTAGGGCCGTCAGATTACGGCGATGGCGACACCGTTGGTGCGGATGAATGGGCCTTTACAGATAACAAGACCTTTGGAAAACCCAGACGAAACAGGCAACAAACGTCCTATAACAGCCTAAACCTTAAGCCTTAAACCATGGTAAATCCCAAATCTTGAACTTTAAATCACTAGGCCCCTGGATGCCTGCATATTCCCAAACCCGACAGATCAGAGCCTACCGGTCCTCCAAACGACCACGGATGCCTCTGACCTGGCTGCTGATGGCTTCTTGTTCTTTTGACAATGATACGACGAGAAATAATGCAAAGTTATTTGTATCATCATCACCATCATCATACGGATACATCTGATGTACAGGATGAAAGTAAGATCAGCAACAGCAATAGTGCAAATAATGATAGCACAGGCATTTCAGAGGTTGGAGTTTTGGGACTCCCTGCCTGGTTGAACGGTCCACGTATACATGCCGGCCCTACAGCCGCGGCAGAAGAACTCTGAAGCCTAAACCAGAAGAAACCCTGTAAGCCCATTGTAGGACTAGATCGGAGTCTCCATCGGTGCCTGAGAGATTGGGGGGGGCGTCCTCAGAGCCAGCCGGATCATCGCTCCAGAACCTAAAGCCGAAGACCCAATAGGCGGAGTATTCCTAAATATCCAGGCTTCGGTAATAATGATACTATGAATACTTAGAATTCTAATAAGGATACTAAGAATACTCATCATTCTAATAAGGACTGCTTTAATAATAAACCCTCACCCTCTCACCTTGCTCCCGAAAGTGGCGGTGAAGAAGGAGATCACCGTTTCGGCCGTCGGGAGAGGCGGCCTGGTCGACGTTGTTTGCTTTTGGAGTGATCCCTAAGGGTCCATGTACTAATATAGTTAAGGATCCTTTAAGGGTACCATAAGGGATCCCTTAAGGGATCTATAAGGGTTTAGGGTATAAGGGTCCATGTACTCATATAGTATATACATTGGCCTTAATGTAGTCCCTATATAGGTACTTTGGGGCCCATGTATCTCTATATGGATACATGGACCCTCAGGGGATGGTCTTGGCGAACCCAGCCCGCCACTCTAGGCGAGACCTACAACGTACCATCTTTAGGGCTAATCGCTGTTGGGGTCTAGATGGCTGTTAGGGCTCAGGGTTGCGGGCGCTGGGTTTAGGGTTTAGAGCCTCGGGATTTGGGGTGTAGGTTTAGGCAGGGAGGAGACCCAAATAACTGCATGAAGAGCCAGTAGTCCCAAGCACTTGCTCAATTCCGAACTTCCGAAATCCAAACCTGACCATATGACCATGATAGGATCTGCTCATGGTCCCCGTCTGGTATTGCTTTTGTAAACTATCCCCCTCCTGAAAGACTGTCTTGTACGGGCGAGCATGCTACCATGGAAGTTCCGACGTGCCGACTCCGGATTAAGAACTTTAGGGATTGAAGAAATCTAGTTCTTTTTGCATCAGGCCCTGTGACATAGAGTCTCTGCAAACGGTCCTATCCTCCCAAGTGCGAGCGACAAGTGGTAAGGCTTGTTTCCACGAAATGTGCTGGCGATAGATGGCAGGGTCAGCGAAGCGACCCTACACAACCCTACATGTTCATGAGCACAGCGTTAGGATGACTTTTTAGCTTCACAGGACAAGCCAGGCAACTGCGTTTGCCTCTCGTCCTGGCCCGCAGGGCGGTTTAGGGTTCAAAATTTCTAGGTTTGGCGTTTAGGGCTTAGGGTAGGGTTCGGCGTTTATAGGTTCGGAGGTAACGATTTCCGGGGCTAGGTCGGGAAGGTGAATGCGGTGCTTTTGTGAGGTAATGGTCTCGTCCAGCGGGTGGAAGACTTGTGCTGGGGGGTGCGTGGCACATACAGGCTTCTTCCTTCGGCGGCCTCCACGCTGACAGAAACTATAGAGTCCAGCAACCTGCTTCACAATGTCACAGGGGGGGGTCCCAATGTTGAAGCTGTCCTGATGGGTCGTCCATGCTGCTTCATGGTCGGAGACGTAGAAGAAAACTACAGCACCAAGAACAATCAAGCAAAAATCAAGTCCTGAGATCAAACTTCGCGAGGGCCACTCAGGACCCTAAACCAACCACACCCTACATACTGGGGTCTTGAAGTATCTAGGACTACTGAAAGGCCAAACTGTTGAACCAAGCATATACTTGATGGATGCATGAACCATGGGTGGTTGTCAAAATTATGGTCCCTTTTTGGATGCCTAGTAGAATACGGCACCTACTATTTAGGGTACCCAAAAAGGGACCTTAATTTCGACAACCACCCATATGAACCGTGAAAGCCAGAAGCCAACACCTTACGACCACTGCCCCGAGGCCCTCATGCTCGTAGGTATTCATTAGAAGCTGCCCCCACCCTGTAATAGTGACCATAAGGATTATATTGATATTCTATTAGGGCCCTGTTATATTCCTATTATACCACTATTACAGGGTGGGGGCAGCTTCTAAGGTATTCACATTCAGACTCACTGGATACTTCCTGGCTTAGGGTTTCAGGGCTTCGGGTCTGGAGATCTCGAAACCTGTGTAGACTTCACCTAAACAGCCCAAGGACCGAAATCCGGTTTAGAGTTTAGGGTTTAGGGTTTAGGGTTTAGGGTTATAAACCCTGAAGTGTCCTGCTCAATCGGCACCAAGCTGGCAAATTGAGAGCCCAGCACCTTGTGGACGTGGCAGTCCAGTGTTAATATAGTGCCTTGATAATTAAAATAGGGTTTTGGGGCCCATTTTTCTGTGACTATAAATAAGGAACCACCAAAATAGTATTGGTAACTGTTCAGGCCCCTATATTAGAGTTTCAGGTTTATAACCAAAGCAGCCGAAGCGTATATAGAGCTCTGGGCTTAAGTACCAGTAGCATCGTGCAGGCCCCTAAACCCTGAACCGTAAAGCCCGGAGCCCTGAACTTAGGGTTTAGGGTTTAGGAGTTTAGGGTTTATTGTTTTGGGTTTACAGCTAAGCCTCCAAGGTCCTGTGCTTCTGGCTCCTTACTCCCCCAGTAAACCACAGAAATAAAAGGGCTTAACTCTCCGAGCCCTACTAAACTGTAAGAGCTTAACCAGTTTAAATAGGAGGGTTTCCAAAAATGAGGTACCCCAATACAGTACCCTAAATAGTAGGATCCTTATGATAAGGACCCCAAAATAAGGTACCCCTAATTTTCGGAAACTCCCAAATAGTGGGTATTGGGGATCTAGAGCTTTTCTGCCATGGCCTTGAGGGCCCTGGCCCTGTTCTGGCTTCCAGGTTGTGTTTAGGGTTTAGGGTTGTGGGCTCCAGGTACTCAAAGCTCGGAATAGGATGTTTAAGTCTAGGGTTTGCGGTCCAGGGTTAAAAAGAATTAGGGGTTAGGGTCAAACCAAACTTTGAGGCTGTTGACAACGGAACGGCAGAAAGGATAACAGTCGCAGAAACCCAAAACTGCTTCAAGGACCTAAACCTGCTTCCCTTCCCCTCGAACTCGGTCCATCGGCCTGTTGAAGCTCAAACATCGAACACGAGACCATCCGAAACAAGCATCTTGCAGTATCACAGACCATGACGCTACTTGCTCTAGTGCCGAAGTACTAACCGGTGGAACAAGAACACACTCAAATGCGACGAGACACGGTGACCGAGACAACAGCGCAAGTCTCACCAGACGCCGAACAGCTGTCTGGAAAGCGCTTCCAAACCAAGCCGTTCTTCTCCACAATGTCTCCTTAGATATATGGGAGTTTCCGAAATAGGGGACCCTAAGCGAGAGATTGCTTGAACAGTGTCTCGAAATATCTAACACATTACATGGATTTTCATATGCATGTTGCACGTATGCTTGTACAACCAATAAACACACAAGAAAGCCACTAAGTAAATATGTACATGCATGCATACATACATACAGGCATACATAGGTACATATATGTATATATACATACATACATACATACATACATACATACGCACATACATACATACATACATACATACATACACACATACATACATACATACATATATACATACACACATACATGTATGGATATGTTGTATTTACGCACAGACATACATGCATAAGACATGCATGCATAAGGCATACATGCATACATGGTGTATATTCATATGAATGGTTGTCAAAATTAGGGTCCCTTTTTGGGTACCGTAAATATTAGGTGCCTTATTAAAATAGGGACCCAGAAAGGGGCCATAATGTTGACAGCCACCCATATATGAGCGACACACGCACACAGACATCTACAAAGGCCCAATATCATAAATGCCCCGAGCGCATCGCGAGGCACGGTAGCATGTAGGTGGATTCAGGTGCCTACAGCTCACTGGATTTACCCTGATCCCAGATGACTAAATCATGAGTTCTCGAAAATACAACCATTCTAGTAGAGAGCTTCTGCGACCTAAAACCAGACAATCGAGGTACTTGGATCCTCTCTGGGCTATAGAGACGAAATCGTTTAGACACCTGGACAGGTGCATCTATTGAATCCTGAAACGTGATGGAAGAGGGGAATGAATGTCTGTTGCGACAAATGGAATGCTGACTGAAAAGCATAGGACAAACACAGTGAGTTTCCAATGTGCTTTTTGGAATCCAGGAACCAAGCTGCGTGTTCTATCCCTTCAGAACCCTCATACCACCCGTAGCGAAGCTAGCAGACTCCGTGAAAGCGGGCACCAAGCCCCATAGTACCTTCCCAAAACCTGAACCGGCCACCTAAAACTTGAAACCATACTGTAATCATACCCACCTTCTGCCACACCAAACCCTGCTCTAGCTATTCTAGGCGCTGTGTGAAACACTCTTCCAGCCTTGTCGAACCAGAAGCAGCACAACAACCCAGACCCCCGGGAGGATCTAGAAAATAGATCCACCAATTTGGGGCACTATACTACCAAGGGTACTCTATAGGAACCCCCATTAAGGGATCTACTTTTTGGATCCGCCCGGGGGTCTGGGAAACGAATGAAACCCTACGAAGTGACGAAGTCCCCAAATCCGAGCGGACGGAAAATCAACCAACACCTTCCGAGACTCTACATAGTTTAGTATAGCTTCTAATCGTATTAGTCTTCGTAGTAATACTACTATTAGTATTAGTATTATAACATAGTATTAGTGTTAGTATTAGTATTGTATCTTTAGCATAGCAATCACTAGCCAACACCTTGCGAGACTCCCGGGTTCAGAGCGACGGCTTCCTCCTGGAGCCGGCGCGCGTCCGGCAGCAGCGTGCGCGAGCACCTGCCCCCCCCGGAGTCGCTGATGCGTGGGTTTTGGTTTAGGGTTTAGGGTTTAGGTTTCGGGTTTATGGTTTAGGGTTTCGGGTTTAGGGTTTAGGGCTCAGGGTTTAGGGTTTCGGGCTTTGGGTTTCGGGTTTAGGGTTTATAAGGCTTTTTGAGGGGGTGCAGGGCTTAGGGCTTCTAAAAGTTCTGTCGAGGGTCTAGAAAGGGTTTTGAGGGGGGATCTGTGAGCTTTGTGGGATGTATAGGATCAGCTATACTGTCGAGACCCTGACCCCAAATTAATCCGTGCCGTGCTGAAAGAGTAACAGCATAGTATATACTCTGGAGGGGGCCGGAATATCTACTAAGAACCTGCTATATTGGCACTTGGACCCTTGGGCAACCCTAAACCCTAAACCCTAACCCCATAGACTACTATGTTGGTACTTGGACCCCTTTGGGAAAGCTTAAACCACGTGAATCCAACTGCCAACAACCGTGTATATGTTAGAAGCTTTCCCCACCCTGTAATAGTGACTACAAGGAGTATATTAGGGCGCTATTTTTATATATCTATTATACCACTATTACAGGCTGGGGGCCCCTTCTAGTGTATATCAGCAATTCCGGGATCCCAGAGCCATAGATGCCAGGCCGCTCGCCAGCGATGGAAAAGCGACCTCGAATTAGGTGATGGGAGGCCAAAAGGGGGTTTAAGATTCTTGGGGTAGGGATCTAATGTGAACCCTATTATGGGAACCCTAATCCCTACTAAACCCCCATAGGCTAAAACCCCTTTTGGCCTCCTATGATTAGGGATTAGAGTTGTAGCGGTTATAGCATTTAGGATATGTTGGTTACCGGGTTGCATAGGGCTCATGGTTTGGGAGTTGAGTGCGACATCTGCAATGTCAGTCAGTACTTGCAGGACGAGGGCATAACCGTTGAAACTCACACCCAAAATATCATCAAACATCCTACACCCCGATTCCTGTGAACCCTGATCCCTACACCCCACAACCCTAAACCCTAAACCCCAGACCCCAAATCCAAAGTCAAAACTACAACAAAGAAACAACAAGGGCATGTGCTGGACTGGAGCCTTCGCCAAGGCCAATGGCCATCGTCATGACCTCAGTACCACTTGGGGGGGGTTCCGAAAATAGGGAACCTAATATAGTACCCTACATAGTAAGATCGGTGAGGGATCCGAATATAGTACCCTACATAATAAGATCCTTATTAACTATAAGGCTCCCAATAAGGTACCCTAATTTTCGGAAACTACCACTTCAGTGCAGCCCCTCATGGTACCCAACTGCCCATACATTCGGGCTTTGGGATTGGAGACCAAAACACGGACAGAGACAATCAACCTACAAGGCACCTTGGCTACAACGACCATCAGCAGATATCAATAGTGAGACCGAGACCAATTAACAGCGGATAGCAACAGTAACACCATTGCTTCTATTTTTTGCCATGCTCGTGGCTAATTTTCCTTCCAGGCATAGCATGATATTCGTTGCAATACAGTGATAAACGCTATAACAGATTATCAAGTGATGGGTATGTCTGGTGGCGCGGTTTCTACTGCTGCTTCTGCTTCTGCTTCTGCTTCTGCTTCTGCCTCTGCTTCTGCTACAGCTACGGCTACTGCTACTGCTACTGCTACTGCTGCAGCTGCTGCTACTGCTACTGCTACTGCTACTGCTACTGCTACTGCTACTGCTACTGCTACTGCTACTGCTACTGCTACTGCTACTGCTACTGCTACAGCTACTGCTGCTACTACTACTACTACTACTACTACTACTAGTACTAGTAATATCAGTACTACAAGTACCCGAACTTCTCCTTGACATCATGATGGTGATGAGAATGATGCGTCATGTTCCTATTTCACGGCAACCAGGGATATTCAGAAGAGTGCCCAGATGTACCGACGACAAAGATATTGGCGATCATGCAAATGTTTGTTCTACGAAATCGTGGGATGGTGTCAAGGATGAGGTCCGTATCCTTACGGGTAGCTCTAGCTTTAGAAGCACATGTCCCATTCCTTCCACGAACGAGAAGCTGCGTAGGGCCATTCTCGACATGCGAACCAGAGCAGCACCTAAAGCGGAGACCGGACGAAGGTTTCGAGGGGGGCCGTGGATGCTTTGCAGATGCTTCTGTTTTTTAGGTCTTGATTTCAGGTTCAGCCAAACAACAAAATACCACGGTAAGGCTTTATCTATACATGGAAATCACAATGAATAATCCTTAAGCATCAGGTTGTTGAAGGGTTTTATGCTGTTGAGGCGGTAGTATTTAGTCACGTAGTCCATTTCTTCGGAGTTTTTGGCCTGTCTCGTGGCTTAAAGGTCTGCAACACGCCCGCCCGAATTCCACATCCTGAAGCTGCTCAGGTTTGAGCACGGAAATGCGACACGCCGTTTGACGCCCAAAGAAGGCTTGGGGGTTTATAATTATTCAACTAATCAGGGCTCACACCAAAGATTACGTCCGAACACCGGCCTTTACAAAGCTTTGCGCCTCAACACCGGCAAAAGCAACGGTTGGGGTGTAGGGCTTCGGGTTTGGGGCCTAGTGTGAGGGTCATGAAACAAGACTAGTGACTGAGAAGCTGGTGTTGCCAAGGCTATTACCATTGCTACACTAACTTTCGACACGACAGCGGTGTTCATCAAGACTGCTACTACTCCTACCGGTATGATTTCTGTTAGGCCCATAACCCGGGAAAAATCCCCAGGAAGTGACAAGCTGAAAGCTGCAAGGCTCTGGTCGTGGGATTGAAATCGGGCGCAACCAACAAGCCCATCAAGCATAATACGTCGACAAGGCCTGACAGTGTCCTGTACAAGTTTTCATCCAAGAACAGCAGGTTTGCATGTTTGCAAATGATGTTTGCCCTCATTTTACCCATTCCATACATTCCCGATAGATGCAAAGTGCACCGGACTGAAGCATCCAAAGACATACATAGATAAAGCTACAAGCATGCAACTTTGTAGACATGCGGAACCGCTTTCCAGCAGCCAAATACTCACCATGAGGTTGCGATAGATCCCTTGGCCGGGAAACCTCTTTGGCTTGGCTCTGAAGCGTTCCCGAACTCTTTGCCGGGATACCTGAGACACTTCAGTCGGTGGTGCGGTGGTTTGAGGCTTGAATTGCGGATACTCACGATTTATAAGGATGGTTGGTCCGGGCTCAAAGTGTAGCGTTTAGAGAACCGGGCTTGGGGCTATACGGAGGAACCAATAATGTAACCGGGGCTGCAATGGGATATTGCTCTTTCATGCCTGTAGCTCCTGTCAGCAGGCTGAGCTACGAAAAGTGGCTTAGTTTAGGGTTGAGGGTTCAGTCACGGTTCTTTGGTATACAGCTGTGGGACTGCTTGGCTGCTTAGCTTGGCTTGTTGTCGAAGAGCGTTAACACATAAAGCTACAGTTATGGGTAGTTCCACAGATCAACAGTCATCTGCCTCAGCTCTTGGACTCTGGCAGAATAAGACGTCTCTATGTATCTGTCGGGGTCGGAGGAGTTAGTGGCCCTGATAATCCCTAGTATATGTATATGATATAACGATATACTCCACAACCTATTCCATATAAGGCCCCTTTAGCATAGAACCATTGCAGTGGGCCGCACAGCAACCCTTGTAGAACCCTCTAAGGGGACCGCTAGGCATGCATTGAATTCATCTCACATTTAGACTGCGATCTTATAGCCCCTCACAGGAAACGCATTTGGACCTCTGCCAAAAATGTTTTTGCCAACATCAGCACAGCAGATGCGAACCTACCATCTCAAGCCTCAACCCCCGACCCTCAAACCTTGAACCTGAAACACCTCGCACCAAAGCCGAATTGCCCTAAGATCCAAACCCTCAGCCTACCCCTAAAACTCTGACCCCTAAGCCTCAAACCCGACCTTAACCCTGAAGAACCTACCTTTTTAAGGACTTGTATAAGGAAATCAAAATGGAAAACCCTAAAAAGGTAGGTTCTTCAGGGTTAAGGGAATCCCTATAGACTGACCCTTCGGCCCAGACACCCGAGGAGTGCAGCGCGCTCCCATCGACGTAGCCGCCGTGCTGTAGCCAGATGCCATCGGGATACATCCGGGCCTCTGAGGGCTCAGGGTTCAGGATCTGTTTTGAAAGGCCTCTTGTTGATCCCTACTTGGGGGTTCATGGGTAGTTATCAGTGGGGTTATAAGTCCCCTAATATGGGTCATAAGTACAGCTACCCTACTTATAACCCTACATGTAACTAGCCATGAACCTCCAAGAAGCGTTTATACAATAGCGTGGAAAATGTGGGATCCAACAGTTTTGGAGCTTTGCAAGCTTTCGTGTGTCGGGTTGAGGATTCGGTGCTTAGCAAGTTGAGGGGTTCCTGATTCAACATGTGGAAAAGGATGCCGGGGTTCAAAGAGAAGTGTTGGGTGCTACTTGGAGGGTCGGGGGACTTAGTAACTGTTTATTTTAGGGACTTATAAGTACCATGACCCCAATTAGGGTCCCTTTTAAGGTACTTATATCTCTACTTACTACCTACTTACTAAGTCCCCCTAAACCCTAAACCCTATAGTACCCTTATAGAGCCCTTTAAAGGAACCCCTTATAGTTACTAAGTCCCCTAAAGACCCTCCAAGTACAGGATCAGCTTGAGGAGTTGGGGTCCCAAGGCCCAGAAGGAGGAAGTGCTCGGTCGATGAAATCGGCAAGACTTGATATCTCTTTTCTATATAACAGGTCCAAAGTATAAAGCTAGGTAACAAAGGGGTAGGGGATGACCCTATAGGTATGGCATTAGGGTTTAGGGTTTAGGGTTTAGGTGACAGTTTGACGTTTGAAAGGAGGACATGGACGACATCCAGGCGGAGCCACATCCTACTCTGGCATCATCAACAGCAGCCTAAACAATGATGTCAGGCAAATGAAGCCTGCGGCCCGAAAGACTTTTTTTGCTTCCGGGGACAAAACCCTAAACCCCTAGGGATCTAAGGACTCATGTATTAAGGCTTTTTTGGGCCCAAAGACCATACTATATATGGGTTTTGGGCGATTTTGATCCCCAAGGAACCTTGAAACCCCCTATAATGGGCTATATAATGGGTAGAAAATAGCCATATTAAGGGTATATACCTAGGGGTCCTCCTTTTACCCTTGGATTGAAAGCCTCGGCGAGGCTCGGCCTGCAACATCAACTTTGAAGCCGCCGTCCGGGTTTAGGGTTTAGGGTTTAGGGTTTAGGGGTTTAGGGTTTAGGGCTTGGGGTTTAGGGTTTAGGGTTTAGGGTTTAGGGTTTAGGGTTTAGGGTTTAGGGTTTGGGGGGTCTCCGATCAAGCACCGATCCAGGAGACTCCAAAATCGATAATTAAGAGCACTTGTGAACGAACACTACCTAAACCCCGGCAGCCTCGTAGCCTCAAGCCCTCAAAGCAACTCAATCCCTAAACTCTCAATGAAGAAACCTGTAAACTCTACTAAGTCTACTAAGCCCTAGCCCCTGCAACCCGAAGCCACAAATCCGAAAGATCTTGAACCTCCAACCCCTACACCCCGAAAAACCCTGAAGCCGCTGAAATCCTTCCCTAAACCCTAAACCCTGAAGCTTAAACCCTTCGAGCCACTTCCCAGAATTAGCCTCGAGCTCACTTTGCACGTGAAGCAGGCAACCATGAAGGGCCTTGGAGGCTCGGTTTACCGGGTTCAGCTTTTACTTGTCTATCCTACGTAGAAGAAGGTTGCCGACTATAGTACCCAACTACTAAGATATAGGGAACTACAGAAAGTTGGAATATGGTTTCATGGTAGGATACCCTATAATTTACCATAAAGGGTTAGGATATTCATACTCCTTTACCTTAGGGTTTGGGTTTAGTGCCTGGGGCACAGGCGTTGCAGGGCTGCCAGGGATGCACATAGGATTTTTGCTGGGGGACTCTGGTGCTTTCGGGTAGGACTTATGTCAGGTTTCCAGAGACTCCCAAACCCTTGATATAAGGAGTATACCCCAAGCCTCAAGTCATACTAGGGCTCCTATTCTAAATTATGGGATATTCCTTAATTGACTCGAAAGATTTTGGAATCTCTGGGATTCAAAACTTAAAACCCCAAATCCTAAACCGTAAATCCTGAACCCTAAAAACCCTGTACCTAAACCCAAAAATCCTAAACTCCAAACCCAAGGGAGAATTGGAGGTTCAAGGCTTGGGCGCTCAATGTTTAGGGCTCACCGAGCTTCTGGTCTGCTGGATACCCAGAGGCTCCACAGTAGTTCCTTTCTGGGGTTCTTGTTTAGAACCCTATAAGGTATTCCCGACAGGAACGACTATGGAGCCTATGGGTACTTTCTACTGGATACCTTTCGGGATTTTGCTTTTTCGGCTTTTCAAGTTCTGCGCGTGCTACCGCCCCGGATATCTGATTTCGTTGCACAAGGTTGATTGCTAGCTATGCAAGGTCTAGCGGTTGCACTATAGTACATTAATAAACAGTCACTTCAAGCCAGAGACAGGCCTCGTCTTAGGGCCAGAAATGATGCTGATTGAATGAACGGGGACCCGCCAAACTCAGTTAGGTAAAGAGGTTACCCAGCAGCCCCTTGAGAGCAAGGGTCTGATTGTCATAGTGTTCGACTATCGGTTAGTTTGATAAGGATACTGGAATTTGCAAAACTTGCAATAGGGTCGGACCGTCGGAGAGCAGAAACAAGGCTTGGGATGGCGAGACAGCCCCTAGAACCTAGAACCCTAAACCCTGCCTATAGTCTCCGTTGCAGTTCGTTTTTTGTTTAACCAATTTGATAGTTAGGATCCTATAAGGTAATCCGAAACAAGGAACTGCAATGTAGACTACCGGTTCATTGTTTATTCTTGGTCGGGACGTTTGATGCAACAGACTACGAATGGCGGTTGCATTCCGGGCACACAAAGGATATCATATATGCGGATTGGAAAGTACTTAGAAATCCGTAGACTTTGGCCATGGCACTGATGATCGTGCTTGGGTTGGAACGGCATCAACAAGGTCCAGCACCACCGCTGCAACCACCACGACCACCACTACCACGACTACGCCACGACTACGACCACCAACACGACTACGACCGCCACCACAACCATCACCACGTCCACCACCACTGCCACCACCGCCGTCACCACCACCAATAGAAACAAAACAAGGACAAAGCACATGCGACCAATAACCAGAGGAAACCAGCACATGGCAAAGCAGCAAAACGCCAAACAGCAACAGCAACAACGAAGCCATAGCCAACGCCAGCACCTGCGATGACTAAGACAGCACTGCGACCAAAACGAAGCTGGCAAGCACACTAAGATCAGAAGCAATCAAGTTCATATCGCCAGGCACTATTTTTAATCCTTAAGCCGTGGATCGTAAACCTCAAACCATAAGTGTCGAAGTACATAATTAGACATAATTCTCGTCTCATATACTCTCCAAAACGTTAACCTACATAGCTACTATCCTAAGCCCAAGTGCCCAACTATTGGGTCCTTTGGTTCCTTAAGGAGACATCGCGATGCTGAACTTCGGAAGGACGGCTGGTCGCGCCTTCGCGCGAGCAGCGCCGTGATCATCCAAAGGCTCCAACCTCTTGGGGCTGATTTCTTTAGATTTAAGCTTAAGGGTTAAGGGTTTAGGGGTTTAGGGTGTGGGGATTTATGGGGTTTAGGGCTTAGGCTCGGCTTAGGGTTTCGGGTTGAGCTACCTAAATTACCTAAATGTATTCATTGTGATTAGTTCCTGTTTCTGGTTTAACCAATTCTATAATTAGGATCCTATAGGGTAACCTCATCAAAAAGGCGCTAGAATGGAGAGTATTCTTCAACTTAAGATAACGACAGTCTTGAGTGCATGACCCATAGACTACTGCGCAACGAAACAGCTTCTGTAGAGCCCAGTTAGAGTCTATAGAACAGTCCAGTCTCTGTTGCTTTCGGTCAGGGATGGGCTTGGATAGCTTGGCAGGGGTGTCGGGAAAAAATGGGCTCGAACGAACCCTCCCGTCTTCACGGAACCCTGAGCCTCTTTCTCTATATCTTGGGTTCGGCCCCCATACACTAACAGTCTATAATAGGGCTACTATTAAGGGCCTACTATATCTATATTATGAATATTATCCAACTGTTACTGAGTGGGGGCCGTGCCCAATCTATATCCTTCACTTCTTAATTATGGTGGCAACGGACCTGCCTCGACTCTTCCACCCGCGTGTCGAAGAGCGATGCCCGCGCACGGCGAGCAATGTAGGGATCTTGGCAACTTTCAAGGGGTTCAATAAAAAAAGTCAGGTTCAACGATATGGGTCTGCATGCGTTCCTTCAAACTAATTCAAAAGGTTGAATTGCAAGGTGTCTAGAAGGGTCCTATACCCAGTTTTACTAAATAAGGGCTCAGTATAGGGCCTCTACAAATTAGAGAAGGTTTCTGGTGGGTTGTTCTCCTATAAATATAGTAACGAACTCTACATTGATACAAAAGAATGGTAGTATTAAAAACTCAAGCTGCTGCATTAGCCTGGCAACCGCTGTTGCGCGTCCAGCAGCGCGAACCTCGAGGCAGAAATTCAACAAGCTACAGCTGAAAGTTCCAAGCACGCGCCTCAGGCTACCCTGCCAGAGCTTAATGATCGAGGATTGGGCCTTGAGGAGTAACGGCTTCTGGATTTAAGGTAAAGGGTCCAGAGATTGCGCTCTGATACAGGGTAGTACAGGGCCCGAAATAGTTCTCATTTCGTTCTGGGCATAGTATTACTATACACACGTAGGGACTGTGCACTACGGAACGAAGCAAGAAAATTAAGATCGGAGGCCAGAAAAGGAAATTGGCTTGACTGGAGACATTAAACCCCAAATCTTCAAGCCTAGACCCTGAGTCGCTTTCCTTTCGAGGGCTAAGGGTTGGATTCGGCATGATTGGGTTGCCGCACCTCCTTTCCTGATCGATGTTCTGGTCGAAAAGACCCGAAGAGTATAGTCCTAAACCAACACGAAGAGGCCTCTGAAGCCCTAACCCAAAGGGTCCTATGTACTGTTATGGGGGATACTTCCCTAGGTCATAATAGTAATTCCTAATATGGAAATCCTACATTCTACTATATCGGTACATAGGACCCTTTGGGTAATACTCAGCCACAAACCGTAAGCCCTCACCAACGTTTCGAGACTAAACCCTTCACCCCTGCCCACCCCAGAACCCAACACGCTAAACCCCAAAGATCCGCTCAAAAGATTTTACCCTAAGGGTCCATGTACTCATACAGTATATACATTGGCATTAATGTAGTCCCTATATAGGTACTTTGGGGCTCATGTATCACTATATGGGTACATGGACCCTTAGGGTTATAGCATGCTTATAGGAACCCTTGTAGCAGTCGCTGCATGTCTCATGCATACACACACACACATAAACTTATGGATACATACATACTATAGGTCCTTCCTGAGGGAAGGACAAAGGAGACCTTAGTGTAGGGAACCCTTTACAAGGCACCGACATGAAGCCTGCAAGCTTATCGCCCCTGGAAGCCAGCACTGCTGCAGTGGCCAATGCTGATAGCGCCTCAGGGTTCAGGTTTTTTAGCGGCTATACCGTGTATAAGCCTGAATAACCTACCATTTTAGGGTTCCTTATCATGTTTTGTTTTATATAAGTCCTCAAAAGGTAGGTCCCTCAGGGTTCAGGTAGGTGTTTAATAGTTTATCTAATTACCCAGAGGCTCCATAGTAGTTCCTTTTAGAAACCTATAAGCTAATCCCAGAAAAGAACTACTATGCAGCCTATGGGTAGGGAGTTGAGACTTATAAGGTGTAGCGTTTGGGGGTTTGTTCGGATTTAGGGTTCAATTAGAGGTTTTGGGGTTTGGGGTTTTGCACCACTGCGCTCTGTCGAAAGATGCTTCGTCGTCAAGTATTCAGGCCTGTCTTCACGAATATTTGGGCTTCGCTATCGGAATCAGATTTTTGTTCATATATCATGAAGCTCATGGTTATGCTTGGACCCCAAGCCCTATACTTACCAAAAACCTACACACCTATGCTATGAAGAACTAGGTGTCCCGTGCTGGAACGCCTGACCGGCTAGGGTCCCATTCTGATTCAGGTTCCATGGTCAGGTAAGCGTACTAACATGCGTCTTAGACGTCACGAGAGCTTCAAATGGACCTGCCCCCCGGTGGGTCTAGGATTCGGGGTCAACAGGATCTTATAGCTTTGTAGATAGAATTTTGGATTCGGACATTAGAGTAGAGTGTGAGGCCTGCAGATGTAAAGCTTCTCCACAAGAAGCTGTGACGACAAAGGGGCACGAAGAACCATGCGGTTCCAGGGCAGTAACCCATAGTATTCATAGGCTGAATCCAAGCACGAGATCTCGAATAAATCTTATCGCGGCTGCTATTCACGACGGATCGCAAACCACCTGGGAGGCTCATGTACACTTTATAGGTATAGGCCGGTATAGGTGAATGAAGCCGCAGTCAGCTACCTTACATAGCTAGAGCTACGTGTACTTGCCCATATAAGCCGAAATGGGCCGAAGCCCTATACTCCCCACGACTTCAAGGCCCCCCCCCAACCTCAAGTCAGCCTCAACCCTCGCCCTCTCAAGAGCCTAAAACCATGAAACCCCTACTGCCCGGGACCCTGAGACACCCATTTGCTGCCTTTGCCGGAGGCGGCCCCCGCTGGACCGTGCCGCACGGCACTGGGGCAGATGGGGCAGGTGCCGGCGGCAAAAGGGCATTCATGGGCGTCGAGGTTGTCGGATTTAGACACCAGAATTTCGCACATCCGTCGAATGGTCAGGTGCCACGGTCGCAGGGTCTCGGGGGTTGAAATGTGTAGGCTTTCGCATTTTGGTGTGTTGGGTTTCGGCTTCTTCCTGGCCGCGGCTAGGTGCTTAGAGTGGGGGTTGAGCTTCGGGCTAGCGGCTAGGGGGGATACAGCTCTGAGAGGAACAGGTACCTTGCACAAAGTGCGTGTGCTGCATCTATCGAGGCTTACGGTTACTGGGTCCAGCTTTGCCGATTGGGGCTTCGGGCTTTCATGTTTGGGGCCGTATTAGTGTTTAAAGCTTTAGCTTGAAAGCTCCGGAAGCCAGGCACTGATTGTTTACGTTGCCGTTACGGTGTACACAGTTTTGACGTTTAGGGCTTAGAATTTGCGGCTTCAGGTTTATAGGGTTTAGGGGGTTCACGTCTTCAGATGCCACCCACCCCTGCATCCTTGGACGGGAATGGCTGCGAGGAGAGGAACTCCGCCACTTGCGGACAAATCGGTTTGACTATCCTACAGTGGCCTCCACAAGTATCAAAGCTTGGTTGGGGATCTAGCATCGTATCATTATACAGAGATATACTGAACCCTAGAAAATAGTATCACGAACTAATAAAATATGGGGTCTATATTCCCTATAGTCTCCATTGTAGTTCCTTTTTCTGGTTAACCAAAAACTCTATTATAGGATCCTAACCATAGAGCTGGTTAACCCCAAAAAAGGAACTACAATGGAGACTATAGGTAATATCATCATAACCATAGTATCTTACAGATATACTGAACCCTAGAAAATAGTATCATGAACTAATAAAATATGGGGTCATTATGAATATCATCATAATCAGCCACAGCTATGCCCGAGATGCTAAACAACAGCCTGCCAGCCGGCTCGAGGGTTTTATGGAGGGAACACGGGTCCAGGGCTTTGGCTTGGTTTAGGCTTTTGGGCTAACAGGGCTTAGGGTTTAGGGCTTTGGCTTGTTTTGGGCTTCAGGGTTTACGGCTAATAGGGTTTAGGATTCAGGGCTTTGGCCTGGTTTAAGGTTTAGGGTCTAGAGTTTAGTGCTAATAGGGTTTAGCGTTTAGGGCTTTGGCTTGGTTTGGCGGTTTGGCATTGACAAACCGGCTTGCTCCTCACACAGTCCCGAAGAATAGCATGCTTTCCAACTTCAGGCAAACTGGTCGCTCGATTTTTGAATTTGGATACCTACATTCCCCTGAAGCCTCATTCGTGAGCACTGGACGCTGCTGAACCCCAACCCCCACACCTCAAGAAAGCAGTCACTTCGCCGGGCACAGAGTGTGCGTGGGTGTACGCCACTCCGCGTACGTAACTCTCTCCCCCGAACCCTGGACCAAGAGTCTGGAGAAGCGAAACCTTTTTGAATGAATCACTTGACTGTGGTACTTGGAGGGTCGGGGGACTTAGTAAGTAGGTAGTAAGTAGACTTATAAGTACCCTAAAAGGGACCCTAATTGGGGTTATGGTACTTTATAAGTCCCTAAAATAACCAGTTACTAAGTCCCCCGACCCTCCAAGTAACCCCATACGCCTCGAGTTTAAAGAGACCTGGGACCCGTGAACGAAAACAACACGCAGCAAATCGCCGAAGATCCCGTCAAACCCGGACTCAGAAGAAGGAATCGAAACCCAAAGAGAAGCCGACGATTTCAGACACACACCTAATGTAAGGACTCTATGGCAATACTACTTGGAGGGGTTCATGAGTAGTTATAAGTGGGGTCATAAGTTCTCCAATATGTAATAAGTATAGTTATCCTACTTATAACCCTACTTATAACTCCCCATGAACCTCCAAGTATTGCTGAAGATCAGGCCCCGAGACCTATAGTACGCCCTGCGAGTTCAGGATGTTCAGGGCTAAGGATTTCAGTGTTTACCTAACAACCTACCTTTTTTAGGTTCCCTAATATGATTTATTTACTAGGATACCCAGTAACCTAAGAATAAAAAGGCCTCTCTTTTTGGTATTGGGTAACTTTATAAGGAACCTAGGACTACAAAAAGGGAATAAGGGTACTACTGGGCATCCTAGCTTACATCAGTCCTTAAAAAGGCAGCCCTTGATGCCCCAAAAAGCCTCAACACCCAAGCACCCAAACCCCTCAGCCCTCAAAAGCCGAAAAAACCCTGCGCCTGAACCCTTCGTAAGCACCAAAACGCCGAGATGTACCCTAACCCCTAAACCCTAAACCCCTAGCCGCAATTAAACCCCAAAGCCCTAGAGCTCTAAACCCCAAACCCTAAACCCGAATCGCAAACTCCAAACCCTAAACTCGAAACCCGAAACTCCTAAACTCTGACCCCTTAGCCCTGAAACCCTAAACCCTCAACCCCAAACCCGAAACCCTCAAACCTCAACAAACCCTTAGAACTCTGAAAGGAACCCGTATTAAAGAAAGCCAATTTGGGTACCCTTAGGGCTTCTTATACCCCCAACAAGCCTATACCCTCAAGCCCAAGCCCCAAACCCTAAAGCCTTATCCCTCAACCCCAAACCTCAACCCTAAATCCTCACCCAGAGGGACAAAGTACTCCCTATTATATGACTTTAGGGCGCTTTTAGGTATCAAAAACCTTAACTAAGAGCTACTTGGGCCCTTACCCCAAGGCTCAAAATGGCCCAAAAGCCTTATACAAGATGATCCTTGAGGCCGAAAAGCCTTAAAATATGAGTCCTTAGAGCCTTAGGATTAGGGTTAGACCCAAACCCTAAACCCTAAACCCTAACCCTAAACCCTAAACCCAAACCCTTAAACCCCAAACCCGCATAACCCTGAAAGGAACCCTTAAAGAAACCCTATTTGAGTACCCTTAGGGCTAGAGCCTTAGGGTTAGGGTTAGACCTAAACCCTAAACCCAAAAAGCCTAAACCCTAAACCCTAAACCCAAAAAGCCTAAATCCTATAAATCCTAAACCCTAAACCCAAAAAGCCGAGATGTCGGCCGAAGGTCGACGACCGGAGCCTCCTCGGGGGTGCCGCCCTCATCGGGCCAAAGGCAGTCCTCAGTTTGCCTAAAGGGTGCAAGGAACCGTAGGGTTTAATGGTTTGGGGTTTAGGCGTTTAGGGTGTAGGGTTATAGGGTTTAAGGGTTTAGGGGTTCAGGGGTTTAGGGTTCAGGGGTTTAGGGTAAAGTTTGGGGTTTGTTTTAGGGCCTTAAGGTTTTTGAATTTATTTGGGGCGCCGGGCTGTTGCGATTGACTGTTTGGGCTTTTGGGGTTTACTTCGCTCGTCTGTGGGAGAATGGTGCTTCAGGTTGGATCTCGGCCTATGTTTCAACTGTTGGTGTTGGTGCAAGGCTAGGGCGATGAGGGTAAAGGGCTTCGTGGTTTAGCGCTGCTTGCAGGATCTTCTCTTTAGGCCTTTTAAGAGGCATAGTGCGGTGTGAAAGCGTGCAGTTTGAAGAGGACTGGGAGAAAAGGCGTGCCTAAGTCTGTTGATGGCGAGGGCCATGGGCACTTCTGTGAATGCGCTTTGCGGCCTGAAGGGTCCGGTGTGTGTGGATGTAGTTTTGTGTTCTGGGTCTGGTTGTTGACATCGTAATCTCGCATAGTTTTGCTATTTGATGACAGCTTTTGTAGGATTTGGGGATTCCTGGTTTGTGAAGGTTGAAGTGTTCGCAGGATGTGTAGCGAAGGCTGGTTGCTTCAATGTAGAGAGATTCGAAAACTTCTGCAGTTTCAAGGATTAGGGTTTCCGAGGATGAGGCTCTTCCCTAAACCCTAAACCCTAAATCCTAAACCCTTCTTTAGCATGGGAAGGTTCCGATTCATGGCAAAAGCTGAGGGATGCAGTTGCAAGGTTGATGGGAGGCCGAAAGGGGGGTTTAAGATTCTTGGGGTAGGGATTCCTTAATATGAATCCTATTATAGGAACCCTAATCCCTACTAAACCCCCCATAGGCTAAAACCCCTTTGGGCCTCCCATGACAAGTTCTGGCCTCGAGGTCCTTCCTATGTGGAGCGGCAAGCGGTTTGGGAAGCCCAAAGGCTCCATGGACCTCTATGGTAGCTACTTAAGCTTTAAGGGGGTCCCTACATAGGTACTTTAAGGCCTGATTATAGACTATATGGGTACATGGGGCCTTAGGGAAGGGGATCCCGTGCACGGATACATAGCAGCCTCCAGCCCCCAATGCCACCCCTCCCCTGAATCCTCAACCCGAAACTTCCCCTATAGGGCTCCAGTTACTTAAACTACTATTTGCTTAAGAACCACCCAAAAAGTAAAAATAATAATCCCTATATTACCACCATAAGGAATATATTTTTTATTTTTTGGGGGTTCTTAAGCAAATAGTAGTAAAGAGTAGGTTACCAACCATATGTCATACACACCAGCAACGCAGTCTTCAGGTAATTGGAGCCCTAAACTTCCCTAAACCCCAAAGCCTAAACCTAGGGTTTAGGGTTTAGGGTTTGGGGTTAAATTACCCTAAACCCATGTAACTTATATGTCTTAGTCATACCTCCGTGGTCCGTGGCAACCTGCAGCTTTAAACGACAGTCTCAGAAACACCCTAAGCGCCTGTCCCATCCCTGCCGTCTTAAAAGAAGTAGAAAGTGGTTTTGAGGTAAGTTATACTGGAATACTAGCTCGAATAGGAACCCTAAGAAAAAAGCGACGGCTCTTATGTTACCGGCATTGCCCTTTCAGATGTGCTCAGATCTGGACGCTCGGGTGCTCAAAGAGAAACTGCTTATCCTGCTGACGACTCTGCGATAGTTTCGGCTTGAAGGTATCCGGAGCTCCCTGCATAAACCCTAGAACCTAACTCGTTGCATTTCAGCACTTTCAACGGTCGTCGGATGCGGCCAAGGGGGGAAAGTTTAGAAAGCCGGAATGCGCAGACCGCCTGAACCAACAAATATAAAGCCAAAACTTAAACTCCATACCCTAAACTTAAACCCTAATCCCCAAAACCTACTGCGGGTCGAGAATAGAC